TTGCTTACGCGTTTCACCAAAATGCTGCTCTAGCTAATCATCGTTTTGTTATGTATTTTTGGACATGCTAATCATGCTATGATGTCTCTAATTTGATGTCTCTGTGAATATGGAAGAAGCTAGTGGTGTGGTCACTGGTCAATTACAAGCTACTAATTCACATAGTGATGCAGGGCTACTGGAATCTGAGAAGAAGCAACTGAAACCTGCAAAATTAAATGTATGCTATACTGTTTTTTTTTTTGTGAACGTGCAGTGAGATGCATCTGCTTGCAAGAGGAATCACATTATACTGTTTTTTTTCCCAGTCATAACTATCAATTTAAAGCAGCTTAACAAGATTTTGTGAAACAACAAAGCCAACAAATAATGCAGAGTAGAGCATATCCAGTGGCAGTACACGACGGTAAGAACTTAGAAATAAAATAAACAGAAATGCTATACAACAACCGGGTGTTCACACGAAATTTTTTGCGTAGAACCACCCATCCGCGCTGCGCCCACGTCGCTGCCGCTGTGCTTACGCCTTATCCCAGCGCCCATGGCCGCGCCGCGACCGACGTCTTCTCCAACTCCGCGACCTTCTTCCCCCAACTCCGCGCCCACCACCAAGATCTGTCTTTATTCTTTTATAGAAAAAAATGTTATTTATGATCTGTGATTTGTTATTTGTGATTTGATATTTATGCCAAGAAGAGAGAGGAGAGGAGGAAGATGATGTATGGGGAAAATAATTTGGGTGTTACTTAGGTGCTAAAACACCCGGTGTTAGATAGTCGCGTCATCATCGTGGTACTCTTGTACTTCTCTCTGTGTTTTGTACCAGGGAGGCTTCGAGATATGATCAGTCCGTAATCGAGAATTTAACGCTAAAAATCTTTAGCGGAGTGCATTGCGCAGAGATGTTAGATCGCTTCGATCGGTCGACACGACGACGTACACCATCGGATGGATCCAAGTGCAGCCTGCCTTGGCTTGGCTGGTTCATATCGTTCTTGGTTCGCTTACGTGAGAGAGAAGCATCACCGGTTTGTTCATATGAATGGTGTCCATGAGAGGGGGTGCCACCAAATGACCAGAGCAGACCCAACCCAACACGCCGATGATCTTTTGAGGAGCACATGCTTAGGACGAGAACATATCACGGCTCCACGCTGTCCCATCAATCATGGCGTGCATGGGCGGCGCGCCAGGTATGCACCTATATGCCATGGAATACCCATATTTTGGGAACAAAACAAATATATATACAAATGTATAATGATATAGCATGTTGGTATACGGATGTTGTAAATATAGCCCACAAGCCCAATAGAACAACTAGCAGTAGCAACCCACAAAGTCATACACTCTGTAAAAACCCATTGACATCTTCTCCGACGCTCTGTGCTCCTGCCGTCAGACGTGCTGAGCCATCGATCGGAAGCAGCCTGGTGGCACAAAGCGGCGACAAAGCACCTCTCTGGCTCTCCCTCAGCCCCTACGCATCTCCTAGCTCATTCAACTGCGCCTATCCGGCCCTAGCGGCCCGTGGTCGGGCCCCACCGGGAAAGGAGCTGGCATGCGGCCCTGCAGCAGAGAGCATCTCCCTTCGGCTCAATCGATCAGCCCTCCCTCTCCAATCCCATCCTAGCTTGGCTCAAGAAATATGAATAAAGATTTTTTTTTTGCATTGTATTTGTAATTAGATGAAGAAGAAGGGTGCCAACGTATTTGCACTTTGCTTATTAGTATTGCATATTGTACTTTGCTTATTACTTATATTTGCATTGGAAATTTTTTTAACATGGAATACCCTGATGTGAAATCCTGGCTCCTGGCGTGCATCGACTTCGAGCCCCACTAGACATGGATGGGGACCTCTGACCTCCTTGTGTGGTGTCATGGCAGCCCTGTAGTAGCTTTCAGCGCGAGCTGAAATGGCCATGACCCAAAGAGGACACGTGTGACACTGCTGATCTCGTCATGCACATATAAACCAGATCAGTGAGCTGAGTGCTGCCTAATGCCCATGCCCTGCCCAGTATATACCCATCATGGTCCTGGGAAAGGAGGTGACAACGATGGCGCAGCCAATTGCAGGGTTACACACGGTGCATGGGCCAACAGCACTGGTGTACGCATGGTTTGCTCCAAGGTCCCCCTTGTGTTAGGTACCACATGAATGAACGATAGTGCTGCTTGAAGGAACAGTTTGGAGCTTGCATGCATTGGGACCGCCACGATCGATCACACTCCCGGCATTAGGTGCTAGAGGTTTCCATTCCGATAAAAGTAGCTTTGCAACAAACCGAAACATCAGTATTAGTATACAGGTGCCAGACAGGATCTTACATTAGGTGAGCTGTGATCACTCTGTTGCATTGCTGATGGTAAGTCAGGGACTTTGTAGCAGGTAGGGCCATGTTAAAGCCCTGACCGCCACCTGTGGCTTATGGGCCCTGCGCCACCGTCCCACACCACGCCACTGGCCCACCGCATGCCATCTCCAAAAGACCACACAACCCAAGTGCGTGGTGGACATGGGACGTGCCTTGGGGGATGTGTCCTGGATCCTGGTGGGCATGGCCACGCGTCTGCTGCCACATGGATCCTAATTCCTATCGCAGAGAATACGTCATCTTTGCTGTCTATTTTTTTTGCGAGGTGTCTTTGCTGTCTATCATCGTTAGGTGTGCTAGAATCGGCAGTGAGCCGAGTTATAAGCCTAATATCCGAATAATAATTAGTATCCTCCTCTTACTGCCAGGTTGAATGTGACATTCGGCGCAGCTTGGAATTTAGCCCATAGTAGCCTATGTGTATGTTACATGTAAAACAAAGCAGGACACGGAAGGGTCAAATATTCAGTCATGGAAATACTGTCAACACCGGCAAAAAGCAGCGGTTAGGCCTTCATATATTTCTGTAGCTATATGACTCTTATGATATGAGATTTATCATCTACGTGAATACGGGCACAGAGTCAACCAGATTCTGGCGAAACTGAAGCACAAGTTGCAGGTTTGTTGGTTGCATTGGCATAATAAAGGTAGCAACCCAAACAGACAACAATAACAAAACATTTTATCCTAGCTAGTTGCTCAATGTAGCTTTGTCGCTTCATCCTTCTCCCCAGTCATTATCCAAATTAGAGCTGATTGATGGTCCTTCCTACCCCGGCCAAACCATGAAAAAGGTTACGATGACATTCCAATCAGAATGTTCGGGGCAGCAATGTTCATGGCCCCAGATATTAATTTAGGCGCTCCTTTTTTTTACCGGTGGCTCCATTATTGAATACAAATAGTTACTCACTCCTGTTATATAATTCTTGTTCTGGACAATAATATGATGCTGTCTCCAAAACTTAGCATTGACTAAAACAAATTTCTAATTACTAATTTATTACATGATGTCTTAATATCTTCAAACAACCAAATATTTTAAAAAGTTACTGATAATAAAAATTCTAAAAATTTGACCTCAACCATGTCCAAAATAACAAGACTCGTACTCCCTCTCATCTTCTAAATAACTATCGTTTTCGATTTTCGAGAAACAATTTTGACTAAATATATATAAAAAAAAATATTAATACTTATGGTAATATCATTAGATAGATCGTTGAATCTATTCTGATAATAAATTTATTTAGAGATACAAATTTTGCACGTATTTTCTATAAATTCAGTCAAAGTTACGACACGAAAAAAAAACGAGTCATTTAAGGATGGATGGAGTAGAACTCAAGGAGTATACTGAAATGGAAGTCATTTCAGTTTGCATTGTACTTTACATCTTTCTTTACCAGATGGTAGGATGCTATATTAAATCTTACTATTATTAATTAGACACAACTTTGGAACTTTCACGTTAATCATCAGTAGGCGCGCTAAAAACATACATTCTATAAATTCCCACAAAAATGAAACACATTGTGCCGCTAATTCATTAAACTCTTGTCATCATTAAGAATAACTAGTCTATTAACCCATGCTCTTGCACAATCTAGTAATTGCGAGAGACATAGGTGTTAAAAATTCAAGAATGAATATGAGGTCTATATGTAATCAAAATTGCTTATCATTGCTCTCTCTTATTGTTCATATTATAACATAATACTACATTAATCATGTTTTACCTTTGTATCATGTCTCCACGTGTTAATTACGATTAGAGTCTATCAAATTAATTGCCGGATGCTTTTAACAGAAAAGAATAAACCTAAACCTATTATTGTTAATGGTGATCTGATTACGATCTACCAAATTGATGTGTGGGTGCATTTTTGTGAAAATGTCATGATTATTAACAACTTGGAGGCTCATATAAAGAGTATAGTTAGTTCGATAGGTACTGTATTTATTTCTCTGCATTCATAGATATGAAAATTACATTTTTTGAGAAAGGCAACATAGAGATGTGAAAACATCTGGTTAATGCTTTTACAGGTAAAGGAAAAGCTGCGCATCTTTTTTTTGGAAGAAAAAATAATAATAAGCGGCAGATTTCTAGGTATAGGTTTGTTGAGTAGACCTGCTGGCACGGAGACTTGGACAGCTCCTGGCCAAATATGTGGATGCTTGACATGTATCTCTTTTTTCTTTATTGAAACGAAATGCTTGACATGTATCTCGTGCTCCTGTATATATGTCAGCATCATATCTAGTGGCCAACTGGCTACTGCCCATTGTTATAGTGCTAGATTTGTCCCTGGATCCAACTTGCCTCACCTATATATCTTCCAAGTAAGACTTGTGCATATACCTGAACCTTCTCTGCTACCTCTTTCTTGGTCATGCCCTCTCATTAATTCTTCAATGCTGCGTAGTCCCTACTGAAAGAGGCACCAATCAGCAATTACTGCAGCTGCTCTCTTCCTTGTAGGTGCTGCATTATGGGGGGAGTGCCCAAGGCTTGCACAAGTCAGCACTCTTCCATTTCCATCCCCTTGCTTACGTTCTCCTCGTGCTTGTGTCTAGTGACATGAACTCATCGTCGTCGTTGCTCTGTTCCAGATGACCTGTCCAAGATCGGCGGCGAGCAGGGTATTGGGTCATCAGTTCGTCTCCGAATTCTCAGGCGTGGAGTTGCAGAAGAGCAGCATGCTAGGTGGGCAGAGCGAGACCGTCAAGTACAGGTGAGCGCCCATTGGAACACCTTGCGTTGAATTGAGCTTTTGTCGCGCCAACTGCAATCGGCATACGAGTTTTTCCATGACCTGCTGGCGCTGCACTGCTGCAGGGTGTTTGCTGGTACATGGAACGTTGGCGGCGTGGCGCCGCCGGATGATCTGGACTTGGAGGATTGGCTGGACACCAAGACCGACTCCTACGACATCTATGTTCTTGGGTACTCGTCCACTTTGCCAACCGATTTGTCAACTCTTAATTTATCAGCGTGGTCGCTGAGGTTGGTGCAGTAAGATTAAGAAAGAATCATCAGTCGCAACGTTTGCACGAAGCAGGTTCCAGGAGGTGGTGCCACTGAACGCGAGGACCGTGCTTGGCCCCAAACAGAGGCGGGCAGCCATGAAGTGGAACCTGCTCATCGGTGACGCATTGAACAACAGGAGGCATGGAGATGGAGTTGCAGCAATGCATGATCAAGGACAGGGCGGCGTGTTCAGGTGCCTCGTGAGCAAGCAGATGGTCGGCATCTTCGTGTCGGTCTGGACGAGGAGCAGCCTCCGCCGGCACGTCCGCCACCCTGCCGTCTCCAGCGTCGGCACCGGCGTCCTCGGCCGGCTCGGCAACAAGGTAAGATATATAGAGGCAGAGTCGCACGCACGCACGGACGCACGGTACACCAGAAGAAGCATGCGGATGACACGGCGTACGTGCGCTACGCTACGCAGGGCGCGGTGTCCGTCCGGTTCTTGCTCCACGGCACAAGCTTCTGCTTCGTCTGCTGCCACCTGGCCTCAGGCGGCAAGGACGGCGACGCGCTCCGCCGGAACGCCGACGCGGTGGACATCCTCTCCAGGACCAGCTTCCTCATCTACGGCGGCGCGCCGGCAGCACCGGATGAGCTGCCCAAGAAGATTCTTGGCCATGAGTAGGTCGCCCGATTGAGCTCTGAACATTCTACCTAGTACCAAGTATCTACTGGCAGCAGGCAGCAAGGGAAAACAGTCGTTGATGACCGAATCGTGTACTCGCGTGCAGCCGCGTGGTGTTGTTCAGGGACCTCAACTACCGGATCGCCATGGACGACGACGAGGAGGCACGGCAGCTGGTTGGGGCCAGGAAATGGAGCATGCTGCTGGAGAACGACGAGCTGCTGCTGGAGCTCTGCAGTGGCCGTCAGTTCGACCGCTGGCACGAGGGCCACGTCGCCTTCGCCCCGACCTACAAGTACCGCCGCAACCCGACCAGTTCTACTGGTGCCCTGACGGCGTCGCCACCGGCCGCGACAAGCAACACCGCGCGCCGGCATGGTCATGCATCCTCACCGAATCGATCTTTCAAGTGATCGAGATGGTTTTGTTGTGACGCTGTTGCTGCTGTTGTTTATTTGCAGGTGCGACCGTATCCTCTGGCGCGGGAAGGGGATGAAGCAGGTCCGGTACGAGCGCTGCGGTGGCTACCGGCTCTCCGATCACCGCCCGGTCAGGGGGCCGTGTTCCACGCCGTGTGCGAACTGGTGGAAGGCGTGGATGCTTAAGCTGCAGGCTTCTTCTGTGCTTTGAAACACATTTAATTAACAAACGATCGAGCCTGTAAATTTTACAAAGTGCGTGCTAAAAAATCTCAGCCAGAGATTTAAGACGAAACTGATTACTGAGGGCCTGTTCGCTTGAACTTATCAGCCGGGCTTATCATACTACTACAGTATTTTTTCTCACAACAAAATAACCTTCCAAATTTCGCTTTATCACCGGCTTTTAATACCAACCTCTCCGCCTAGGCCATCGGTGAGATTGACAGCAGCGCGCCGCTTCTTATGGGAAGGCACGGACTCAATCACTGGCGAAAAATGCAAGGTTGCTCGACCGATCATCTGCTCCCCAAGGACCTCGGCGGCTGGCCTCGCGGACCCGAGGGTGCTTTCGGCTTTGCTCTCATGGGCCACTGGGGTGATCGTCGATCCCAGCCGGACGCTGTTTGGTCATTGTTGCCGTCCAAGCCGGAACGCAAAGGTCGACCATATGTTCCGGGCCTCGGTGTCTGTCCAGGTCGGCGACGGCGCCTCGACCCGTTTTCTGGACGGACTCTTGGCTACCGAACGGGCCTATCTGCCGCTCGGCCCCAAACCTTTTGAGGGCAGTAGCATGCCGTGTTAAACCTAAAACAGGATCTCTAGGCATAGAACTAGCATGTCTACTTGCACTTAGATAAAACGTGAGTCCTAGAATATACTAGTACAGTAATAGTAGATAGAACAAGAGAAAGAGAGGGGTGAAGGGTGCAAACCATCGGCTGCCTTGGAGGAAGATGGGCTCGCCATCGCAATGCTTGGCGACAACCCAGTGGCAGTGCAGTAGCGGTGTCGTACGGGGTCGGTGTAGAAGCCGCAGGGCAGCCCGACGTCGTAGCAGTCCTCCGGCGTGATGCAGAGGCGGTGGCGGTGCTTTCTATCACCGGCGTCCCTTTGTGATCGGCTAGGGTTTAGGACTGTAGGTGGGGTGCTAGGCGGCTCAAGCGAACCTCGTTACTCGAGCGCCCCTAGGCCCCACCTCCTATTTATGGCGCTGTGCGACGGGGGCCACCAACCATATTAGGGTTGGACGCCCCCGATCAAGGCGCGGATCCAAGGGTCCAAGGGCCTATTGGTGGAGATCAACTAACATTCTCCCCCTTGATCTCACTTATATCATAAACTTAACTTACTTACTTTCTCTTATTCTTATTCTATCACAGATCAGTGCATAGAGCGTGCCTCATCATCGGTCTTTTGCCATTAGATTAAACAGCTTATAATGCACCTCTCTCTGCTTTTGAAATGATTCTTAACTAGGCCCTTATTGTCTAGGAATCATAGGTTTTCCCTTAAAACCATGCCGGCTACGTGTTCTCTGAACACACTAGGTGGTAAGCCTTTTGTAAACGGATTCGCGAGCATCTTTTTTATTCTTATATGCTCAAGACTAATTATATGATCCCGGACTTTATCTTTCATAACATAATACTTTATGTCAATGTGTTTGGCAGCACCACTTGACTTATTGTTGTGAGCATAATATGCTGCTGGATTATTATCGTAGTATAACTTAAGTGGTTTATGTATGTCGTCTACCACTTTCAACCCGGGCATGAATATCTTCAGCCAATTCACGTGCCCTATGGCCTCATAACATGCTACAAACTCGACATACATGGTGGACGATGTAGTGACGGTTTGCTTTGAGCTTTTTCACGATATAGCTTCTCCTGCGAGAGTGAATATGTATCCTGACGTGGACTTTCTGTCATCTCCTGCATAACCGGAATCTGTATACCCCTCTATATGCAGGGAATCAGATCTTCTGTACGTTAGCATGAGACCCTTCGTACCTTATAGGTAACGCAAAACTTTCTTTACTAATTTCCAGTGTTCTATTCCTGAATTACTCTGATATCTGCCAAGCAACCCGGTACCAAATGCTAAGTCAGGGCGAGTACACACTTGAGCATACTGTAAACTTCCGACAGCTGAACTATATGGAACCACTTTCATTTGATCGATCAAATATTGGTTCCTGGGACATTGAAATTCCTCATATATGTTGCCCTTAACTATGGGAGTAGGTGATGACTTACAATTTTGCATACTATATTTCTTTAGAACTTTTTATAAGCATGCCTTTTGTGATAGTCCTAAAACCCCCTTTTCTCTATCTTGGTGAATCTCTATTCCTAGGACGAACGAAGCTTCACCGAGATCTTTCATATCAAACTTTGAGGACAAGAACTTCTTTGTTTCTAGTAGTAGACTAACATCATTGCTAGCGAGCAAGATGTCATCCACATACAAGGCTAGGAAAATATATTTCTCATTCTTGAACTTTATGTAAATGCAATTGTCCTCTACATTTTCTTAAAACCCAAACTTTCTTATTGTACTATCAAACTTCAAATACCACCGTCTTGAAGCTTGTTTTAATCCATAAATGGATTTCTTCAAAGTGACATACCATGCGTTCTTTTCCTTCCACAACAAAACCTTTCGGTTGTGCCATGTAAACGCTTTTCCTCCAAATCCCTATTTAGGAACGTGCGTCTTTACATCCATTTGAGGTAATTCTAAGTCATAATGTGTTACAAAGCGCCATTATGATTCTAAAAGAATCCTTATATGAGACCAAGAAAATGCCTCATTGTAATCTATGCCTTCTCTTTATGTGAAACCTTACGCCACAAGTCACGCTTTAAACCTTTCTATATTCCCTTTGAGTCGAGTTTAGTTTTGAAGACCCATTTACAACATACTATCTTGGCTCCTTTAGGAATTATTTCTAATTTCCAAACTCCGTTGGTTTTCATTGATTTTATTTCATCTTCCATGGCTTCAAGCCACTTGGATGATTGAGCGTTTCTCATGGCTTCTTCAAATGAGGTGGGATCACCCTCTATTTGAAATTCCTCACTTTCATAAACTTCATAATCATCAGGAATGACCGATCTCCGGACTCTTTGAGACATTCTAGGGGCCTCGCTAGATGACGCTTGTTCTATTTGAGGCTGTTGTTGCTCTTCCTCATGTGTGACAACGGGTTCTTGGGGATCCTAAAAGATAGGTTCCTCATGTTCATTTATTGTTGCCACAGGAGAACTAACAACATGTGTTGTTATTATAGTGACTTGCACTGTTGGTACAGCAACAACCGGTAGCGTGAAGAATGGTTCCTGAACCATAGGAGTGGGCACGTATACCCGATTTTCTTCAAAACTAATTTCACGCGCTACCATGCTCCCCTGATTATATCATCCTCCAAGAAGAGAACATGTCTTGTTTCTACAAACTTCGTTTGTCTGTCAGGACAATACAAGCGATAACCTTTTGACTTTTCTGGATAGCTAATGAAATGGTAGTTGACTGTCTTGGAGTCCAGCTTCCCTATGTTTGGGTTAAATACTTTTGCCCCAGCAGGACAACCCCACACACGTAAATAGTTTAGTGAGGGTTCCTTTTCTGTCCACAACTCATACCATGTTTTGGGCACCGACTTACTTGGCACTCGATTAAGAATATGAATGGTGGTTTTTAACGCCTCCATACATAAACTTATCGGTAAGGTAGAATAACTTATCATGCTTCTCACCATATCCATTAAGGTACGGTTATGTCTTTCAGCTACTCCGTTCTGCTGAGGCTCGCCCGGTGTAGAATACTAGGCTACTATGCCATTTCTGTAAGAACCTTGCAAAGGGTCCATGAACTTGGCCATATGGGGTGTGTCGATTAGTAGTACTCTCCCCACGGTCGGACCTTACTACCTTAATCTTTAAGTTGTGCTGATTTTTTACTTTAGCCTTAAATATCTTAAATTTATCCAATGCTTCTAATCTTTCTTTAATTGGATAAATATAGCCAAACGAGAATAGTCATCTGTGAATGTTATAAATGAATCATAACCATCCACACTCTTCACGTAAAAAGGACCATAGATGTCTGTGTGGATTATTTCTAAAATTCCTGCGCTTCGTTTGACATCTTTCTTTATTTTCTTAACATATTTTCCTTTTATGCAATCTATGCATTGTTCTAAATCTGAAAATTTTAAAGGCGGAAGAATTGATTTCTTAATCAATCGCTCTATCCTCCCCTCAAATATGGCCTAAATGACAAAGGCCATAATTTCGATAATACATCATGTACTTTCTTCCGCTTATTTGTTGCATTCATAGACGAGGAAGCATTCTCATTCTCAAGATTTCTTACATCATTCACATTCTTAGAAAGTGATAATAAATAAAGCTTGTCTTGTCGGAAGGCAAGACCAATACATTTATTATTATAAACAATCGACATTTGCCATTACCAAAATGGCAATCATATCCATCGTCATCTAAACGTGACACACTTATTAAGTTTCTTCAAGAAAGAGGGTACAAATAGAACATCTGAAAAGCTTAAGTAGAAAACCATCAACTAATTCTAGAGAAAGATCTCCAATGGCTTCAACTTGAGCTTCAACTCTATTTGCAACTTTAATTCTTCTTTCTCCTCTTTGCGGTGGTCCTCCTCGCATTTAAATCCTCAGAATGAACTTGCAACATGAACAGTTGCACCTAAATCAATCCACCAAGTAGATTTTGCATAACTTAAATACAGGAATTCATCTATGAATGTAATGAAATCCTCACCTCTCTTCAACAGGCTCTTCAGAAAGTCTGGACAATTCCTCTGGTAGTGTCCATGCTTCTTGCACCATTTGCATCGATTCTTCTCAACTTGAGCATTAGAGTTCTTCTAATGGTGCTCTCGGTCTGAGGGCTTTCCTTGTGGTTTGGCATTCTTATTGAAGTTCTTTTTCTTGTCCTTGACAAGGTTAGCAGAGTCACCCTGTAAGGACTTCAGCATTTCCTCTTCTTGAACACACATTGCGATGAGCTTTTCTATGTCCCACTTGTCGGGCTGCATATTGTAGTTAACAACAAATGTTTCATATATTTCTTTGGCAAGGAAGCAAAACCAAATGAATCAAGAACTCATCCTTGAGCCTCAAATCCATTGGCTTCAGTTTCGAAGCCGTATTGCTCATCTTCA